AGCGAGGCCACTCCCCCGCAAGCGAGCCTTTGCTCTGGAGCAAATTTAATCCAGCTGCGTTCACACGTGCACATTTGTTCCTGCGTAGCGTCGCAAACGAGCATTTGCTCTGGAGCAAATTTTTAAACCACCTCCCTGAGGTGGATCAAATTTGGTCCGGTATAAGCTCTTTAGTGGAGCTACGTCGGCACAAATGTGCACGTGTGAACGCTTGACTGGATCTGTTTCGGCGCAGCGTCGGACCAAACGTTGCCGTGTGAACGGGGCTCATGTCGCCAATGACAATCTCCACCAAACCAGATGTCTAACATAGTACCAAGACTGACCTGTGAGAGGCAGCATAGTGCCGCAAAGTACCCGTACTGCCAAATACAAAGAAGAAAGAGTAGAGAAGCTGGGCTAAATGTTAGGGGCTAAATGTTAGCTTATTTTGTAACCATACGCTTCTCCTTGTCATTGTGATTGTGGCGAATGACTTGGAAGACAACTGACACAACTACTTAACACAACTCCTCTCTTTATGTCCAACCTAAGTTTTGCTTCCTAAATGGTGACTTTATATCCCAATCACAGAGTATGTGGCTTGGCCCGCTTGGCTGAACGCATCTGCATTTCCAATTGTAAATACTGTTTTGGACATGTTTATCATTTCAGGTTGTCAGCTTTAATCGTTATAGACCTGATCTGGGAGGAAAAATTGCTTGTACAGGCAAATGGCTCAGATAATCTTTCAGAAACAACCATTAATCAGGCTCCAGTTGATTTTGCTGGGAGGAAGAAGAAAAAAAAATCGCAAATGAGAACTGATTTTTGCCATTTGATATTCCTGCTTGAAGTGAGTAAGGGTTATATTTATAATATGTGAATAGACTTGCAAGGTTCTCCGTCAAAATTTCAACCCATCTTCAGTTGTTTTGTGTTAAAAGAATTGTTCACCTAAACACGCCTACAAGATGAATCCAAAACTATTTCATAAACATCTACTTGCAAGAGCACATTCCTGCAAATAAATGCATATGACAATGTCAAAACCCCACATATAGATTGAGAAAAAAATAAAGCATAGCATGTAAGTCAGAAACGGTCCCTGGTGGGAGAAAAGGTTAGGGACCTCTGTGCTCCTGGACTCGGTATCATGGATGTAAGCAAGACCTTTCTTTGTCCTTTGTCCCACAGATGGAGAAATCACATCCAAGCCCATGGTTTTGTTCCTGGGACCGTGGAGCGTAGGAAAGTCCTCCATGATTAATTACCTCCTGGGCTTGAACGACAGCCCCTACCAGCTCTACACAGGTTGCCAGCCAGACATTCATCAATAGTTCATTTTGTCAGTGATCCGATACAAGTTGTGTTAATTGTTGCAATTGATCCGGAATCATCAGGAGCTGAGCCTACTACCTCTGAGTTCACCGTCATAATGCACGGCGAAAAGATCCGCTCGGTGGAGGGCATCGTGATGGCGGCGGACAGCTCTCGCTCATTCTCCCCTCTGGAGAAATTTGGGCAAAACTTCTTGGAAAAATTGATTGGGATCGAGATGCCCCACAAGCTGCTGGAACGTGTTACTTTTGTGGACACGCCGGGAATCATCGAGAACCGCAAGCAGCAGGAGAGAGGTAAAGTCACATTTGGGCCACACGTGGACGAGAAACCGTCTGTGAGTTCATTGTCTTCCGTCCAGGCTACCCCTTCAATGATGTCTGCCAGTGGTTCATCGACCGAGCGGATCTGATCTTTGTGGTTTTCGATCCCACCAAGCTGGATGTCGGATTGGAGCTGGAGATGCTTTTCCGTCAACTGAAGGGGCGCGAGTCACAGATTCGCATTATCCTCAACAAGGCCGACAACCTGGCCACCCAGGATTTGATGCGAGTGTACGGAGCGCTTTTCTGGAGCTTGGCCCCGCTCATCAATGTGACAGAGCCCCCCCGTGTCTACGTCAGCTCCTTCTGGCCCTACGATTACGCTCCGGACACCAGTCGCGACCTCTTCAAGCGGGAGGAGATCTCCCTACTGGAGGATCTCAACCAGGTGATTGAAAACCGCATGGAGAACAAGATCGCGTTCATCCGGCAGCATGGCATCCGCGTTCGCATCCACGGCCTCTTGGTGGACCGCTACGTCCAGACCTTCAAGGAGAAGATGAGCTTCTTCAGCGACCCGGAACTGGTCTTTAAGGAGATCGTGGATGACCCGGACAAGTTCTACATATTCAAATCCATTCTTGCCAAGACCAACGTTAGCAAGTTTGATCTCCCCAACCGTGACGCCTACCGTGACTTCTTCGGAATCAACGCGATAACCAACTTCAAACCTTTGTCGTCCCAGTGCTCCTACATTGGAGGCTGCTTGCTGGATAAGATCGAGAAGGCCATCACCAATGAATTGCCCGCCCTCTTGAGCAGCATCAACTCGGGCAAACAGCCTGGTCTGTCTTCTTGCGAGGCCACTGGCTGCGGGGAGAAGCCTAAAAACCGTTACCGGAAGAACTGAGATTAAGCACGACACTTTGAGCAGGAGGGAGGAAGGAAAGGAAGGCGACAGAGGAGGTGAAGATAAAGACAGGGCTCTGATGTAGGGCCAATCCTGATTCAGAAGACCTGCAATAACAAGGAGACGAGGAAACGGATATTAGAGCTTTATTTTCCTCAGGTGACCATGGGATGATCCATTTTGGGGACTGGGGGATAAGACAGATCGTGGGAGGGGAGGCTCATTGTCTGAAGAAGGCAGCTTAAGGATACAAGTGTTGATGAGGTAATATACTGGACTGTCTGGAAAGTTTTGTTGCGGGGGCGGGGGGGAGCATTGATGTGCAAAAACGGGAGGAACAGCCAGTCCGATAGCAGCCCACTTGTATGTGAATAAAACAGAAACTAGGAAGAGGTGTCATCAGTTTGTGTTGTAATATCCTGAGGGGGGAAAACAGCTTTTACAGCAGGTCAATTCCAAAATGCTTCAGACTTTGAAGCAGTCTTTTTGTGGGTGCTATACAAGCTTCGGTTTTGGATATAGTTTGAGAGAGACTAACAGTTATTATTAACCTTGCATGACATTAGAGGCCTTTCTTAACTTTTTGGTGCATGTCCAATAAACTCAGAGTATTTCCGAACCTACCAGGCAACCAACGAGGCCATTTTATTTTCATCTACGCCCGTTGGTCTCGCGTGTTGACAATCCGTGAAATGTGACGGAAGCAGAGCTCAAACGGTCATCAGAGTCTTCAGAGTGGGGTTATTGTTTTTTTCTTTTTTTTTTTTTTTTTAAACCTGGTCTTATTGTCTTTTTATTGCCTGTCCAGATGATCAGATCCTATAATGTTATGAATGATGTTATCCTTCGATTAGTAAGCTTCCCAGCTTTTTTTTCTACCTGAATGACCACAAAGAACCACACCAAAAAGATGTGGTTAGCTCTTTTTTTTTTCCATGTGCCAATCTATTTATTCGTTGTGTGTGTGTGTGTGTGCGTGCGTGTGTGCAGACCTTCCAATGGTCATTGTATGTAGACTACCTGCTTCTGTGGGGGGGTCGGGGGGGGGGGAAGGATAGAGATGGAGAAAGCGGATCACTCTGAAGTTGATCCCTGATCCCTGTCAACAGTTCGAGTCTGGCTATGAGCTCTTATACAAACCTACCTTGGCGAATTTCCTAGAAGTGCTTGCCTACTTCCTTTCTTCATGACTGTGTGAAGCATTCAGGGAACACAGGGGGTTCCTCGGTTAGTGGTAGAAATTGTTTAACGTGTGGCCGGTAAAGCAAAGTACACACACACACAGTGATTTTTAACATCTGAACAAAATTTGAAAATGTGGGCGATCCCACATATGACAAGGAGAAAATGGACAAGCGTGTGCTTACTGCACTTACAGTGTGTGTGCGTGGGTACTCAAGATGACCAAGACACCACATCACACACATAACTATATCTCCAGCACTAATTCTGAGTTCACCTTCCCCAAACCAGATGTCTGTCGTGCTGGATGTGCAGTCGTGAATATTGAACAGGTTACCCTTGTCGGCCCGAAACCAATTTCCTGATAAGGTATGAAAAATCACTCTTACTTACCCTACACCACAGGTGTCGAAGTCCGGTCCTCGAGGGCCGGTGTCCTGCATGTTTTCCATCCCTCCCTGCTGCAACACACCTGATCCAAATGAACAGCTCATCAGCAAGCTCTATCAGAGCCTGATAGTGATCCTGATCATTTGAATCAGGTGTGTTGCAGCAGGGAGGGATGGAAAACATGCAGGACACCGGCCCTCGAGGACCGGACTTCGACACCTGTGCCCTACACCGTACGATAATTAATTAAGATAACATTTCAGAGACATCTGACAATTCGGCCTTTGACGACTTTGACCTGAAAAGAGCGAAAATACACAAACCAGGCCAAATTATCAATTATGTGTGGGCGCTGCTTAAAACTCATTCAGTACCAGCCAATTCTAGACCAAGTCTGAAAAGACGTTTAAAAACGTCTTCGGGAGTGAATGAGTTCAATGAGACATTTTAAAGTGGTGCAGTAAATGGAACTCATTGTACAACAATCGACCTAGATCAGGACCGGGGAACCTACACCCCGTGGGCCATTTACGGGCCACAGAGAGCGCATTTGACAGAATTCTCAAAACAACTACAACCTCAGAGGAACTTATAAAATCAGAACGATCGGAAGAAGGATTCCCGCCCAAGATTCTGATGCATGATTATACAATGACGAGTAGCACCCCCTGGAGCCCAACCCGCTGCCCAACTCCTCCATTACTAACCCCTGGTGTATCTCCATCTAAACGCTGAGGCCAAATGTCAAGTGAGTCTAACTCAACTCTTTTACTCAATTTTTACTGGAGTGTGAGTGTTTGACTGGATGTTGTTTCATGTTTATGTTGCAGTTTCAGGTATGTCCACTAGAGAGTGCTGTGTAAAAGGAAAAAAAAAAAGATCAGGGGCCCCCTTCACACATAGTTTTCAAGGCAATAGCGATGTGTGGTTGTGTGTCAAGGTGATTATTGTTGTTCAATATCTTAATTGAGCTGTGAATTTGATTTGGAATGCATTTGTGTCCCATTTTTGTTTTGGTATAAAATTATCAAGTAGACCCATTTAGAAGCTTGATCGACAAGAATAAAGATTTCTAATCGACCAGGTCTAATCCGTGTTTGTGCTTGTTCTTTTTACAGTCAATCCAAGTGACATCCATTAGTAAACCGTAGTAGGTGACAACAAGTTGTGATTTGTTTGTTTATTTAATCAGTTACTTGACTCCTTACACAAGTACAGCAGCAAATTGTGGGGACATGCTAACCATCGAAGGGGCAACATCAACACTGATGTGGAAAATTTCGGGAATATCCACCCATGGGGAGAAAATACGAATTAAGGTCATTTGCTAAAAAACAGGCAAGAAGACTAGCGAAGAAAATCAAAGCGAAGTGACCTCAGAAAGTTGAAATGAATCAGAAGTAACGCACAATCAACAACGTTTATGCGCGGGTAAATATATCACAACTTTTTGAGTTCTAATTGTCTGTACATTCCACCAAAATTAAAACTTCAAACGATACATTTTGTGTTATAAAAACATTCTATTATGAATAAGTCATACTCCCAATGCAGCAGGCAAGACTAATGTTAGCTTGCTTGCAGTATCGTTAGCTTAGTATTGCTGGCATTGCTATTTTGCTAGACTGTGTTCTATGCACTATCATGAGTACAATGGCCAGGTATAAGAATCGTGCGGTCAGATTCGAGGTGGGTAGGAATGAGTGAAGTGAGGCTACATTCAAATTTTGTTTGTGGTTTTAAAACCACATACTCCCCTTTTAAATGAAATATAATATCTCGAAAAATGTCCATTTAAGCAATCTTTTTAAGAATCCACAGAACTGTTAAATGACTACTGGTTTGGAACACCAGAAAGGCTGAATATGTCAAGTTAAAAAATTCAATCATGACTCCTGTCCAATCAAATTGATTAGTCAGAACTCTGTTGTATAAATGCGGATAAAATGTTGATGAGATTTGTTTTTAGAATGGCATTGCAGGGCCACAGAAAATGCTCTAACAGGTCGCATATGGATATAGGGCCCACAGGCAGTGGGTTGCCCACCGTTTGAATTAATTCCAAATAGCCTCTTGATCCATGCTCTCTCACGACAATTTTTTTAAGACCATGTTCTTTATATATAAGACCTGCATTGCACCACAACTTTGTCCTGACTGGAAATGGGGAGGCGTTATGTGGTGGGATGGTGATAACTTGAATAATTTACTGGCCCTTCTGATTATTTTTTCTGCCTTTATATCATACCTTAGACGTGTAACTTAAAGATTTTGGGGCAATAACTCTCTAGATTGGTGTGCAAATACGTTTATAATATTATCATTGGTGTTTGCGGTTTTTAAATATACAATGCATGAATAATCTTGTCCCTTATTGTATTTCAAGACATGACTTGTCCTACAACGATTAATTCTAAGAGTGGCTCCTATTAAAGCGCACTCAAATATTATGTAAATGACACTCATCTAATTACTGTGCAGGTCTCGTCCCCTTATTTTTTCCTAAAGGACACATTGTTTCAAGTGTGCACAAGTCCACTGCTTCACATTCTCTCAAGACATGAGCGTTGTAAGAGCTCTTGTTTGCTTAACCCGATGCATTCAACATTGACTGTGTCCTTGCTGCTGTTTGGGAGAGAAAATGTGTGCAGGCTGAAATGATTCACGGCCACAAAACTTAAGTCTGCACCTTTAAGTGCTGTAATCGATTACATTCATTCTCCATCATAACCTTATCGTAGGTCGTTACACTCCCCTTTCCCCAGTGGGTCTTCTTTTGTTTGCTTCTCTCTCTCTCTCTCTCTCTCTCTCTCTGGAAGGTTGCTTTTGTGATCATTCATTTCAAAATTAAACTGCCATGGTTTCCTACCCATCGGCATGTTTGAATTTCTAAACCCTTATTGCCCCTTATTGCTTTCAGTCATCTTCTTATTCACACACACACACACACACACACACACACACACACACACACACACACACACACACACACACGGGTCAAGTGAGGACACACCATCAGATGAAATATCTTCAAAACAAAAGCTGTCCGAGCTACAGTCTGAAGCCGGGGTTGGATAACTTTTGTACTCCGGCGCCACAACTGATTTTTAGAATGGAGAGAAAGGCAAAACATAGTGTGTTTCTGCTCACCTTTCTATGCCAGTAACTTGTAGTGACAGACAGAACAAATAAATTAGATTCTATTGGATGGCAGAAAGTAAATGATTGACACATGTCCACTTTTTATGTCCTTTTTTTTGGTGGCATCTCGTGAGATTTTTCAAGATTAAAACATGTGCTCACTAAAGTTTGGCAATCATTGATCGACCATGTGTGTGTCTGCAATTGCCCAACAATCAGTCCAGGGTGTCTCCACTGCCTTTTGCCCAAAATCAGGTGAGAAGACAAAGCTAAATGAATGCCACAAATATTACACGACTCTTGATAAAGTAAATGGCGGGGCGGTTGTAGAACAGCGTGGCCTGTATATGGATTGTGGGCTATACTTTACTCATCGGTCCTGTCTTTGAAAAATTGCAAAAAAATTGCACTTTGTTTTGAATTCCAAATCACACCGGATGACTAAATATCCTTCAATGTACTACAGTGTAGTATGTAACGTTGGAATGACTCCGCGCCATTGTGATTGGTGGTAATGCATATTTCAAATTAGTCACCGATGACACAGTTGTCAAATGACTCAAGAAGAAAAAGACGCATCATGCCAATGGTAAGGTGAAGTAAGAATATTCCCTTGTAATTTGTAACTTGATCTGAGCCAGAAACGAAAAAAGAAACACTGCAGTGTATTTGAATAAAAATCCACCAACCCTAGCTTTTAATAAGCTGTTCGCTCACTCACTCACTCACTCACTCACTCACTCACTCACTCACTCACTCACTCACTCACTCACTCACAGTTTTTTCTATTTTATTTTGAAGTGAAATACCGGAAATGAAGTGCAGCTGTTTGCCTCGATCGGTAAAGCTTTTTGTATTGAAAGAAAGAACCGGAAGTGGAGGGAGTACTCTCGTTTACTTTACGTTGGCGTCGTTTTTCCCTCCCTCACACACACAAACACTGTGTGAAACAGTCACAAATACGCTCACACAAAACGGCACACTGAAGGTGCGTTTGCCCGGGAGGAAGCTCGCACCATGTCTCTCGCAGGTGTCATTGCTGCTGTCAGGACGGCTTGGATGTGTGCGGCGAGCTGCGAGAAAACAGTCCCGTCTCACGGCGGAGGAGGCAGGGATTTGATTTGAAGCTGCCTTCAAATTCGTATGCCGCCGCAGGTATGAATATCATCTCTTCCAATTCAATTAAAGTAGCTGGATGAAGGCGGCGTTTCGTTGACTTGTGGGACTGTGGTACGGTCGGGAGAGACTGTGGGGACCATTTAATTAGCCCCAGACTCTCCCCTGGAGGGCTTTTTTCATCGACTGCCTTTTTCCCGGGAAACCAAGAAAGAATTTAACTTCAGGGATGATGGACTGATGATTATTAATTAATCTGGATGTTTTCTCCAAAGAGGACATCGAGACAGGAAACTGCTGTTTTTTTAATTGCATGCACCCTCGTTGGAGCTGCGGCAGTAAAAAAATTAAATAAGTATATACTACATTACACTACTCTTGATACTTGATCTTCTGTTGACCAATGACAAGAGAAGTCAACAAACCACCATCTTAAGAACATTTGATTCGTCTCAAAGTTATGTCTGGCCTGTTGAAATCATTTTAATGACATTTTAGAAGCACTAAAAAATTACCTTGCACCATCAAACTGGATCTAAACGTATCTAGACCGCAATCAAATCAATGTTTTCTCCTCGCTCCCAAATCCCAGTCTGCCAGTTTGCATTATGGCACCTGTCCTCTAATCATCATCTAAAATGCTTAATACAATGAATTGAACCACGTTGTCCTGCAGAGGATGATCAGTGCAATGCATCAAAACTAATGGACTGCACATACTGATATCAAGTGTACCAAGGGACGAGTCAAAATGTTGCTGGTCAGTTGATGTTTCCATGAGGTCTTCACTGAAAACTAAGCCTCCCCTTTTTTTTAATCTGCCTTTTCACCTTGGAGACCACCAACAATCATCGCAGTGGTTCTAATACTGTGGCCCCATAGTTTGCCTTCCTCCTCTTTGGATTTTTACTTGAAGCCTTGGATTTCGTAATAGCAACATGGCATCCCCCCAACGTCAACAACTGCTGCCTCACAACACAGAGGTGAGCTGTGACTCGAGTGGTGAGGGCGTCTCAGTGAGGATTGGGAACACTGTTAAACACAAGCACGGCGGCGGGCCACTTGGTTCCATCGGGGGAGGATCCAAACACTGCAAGTACAGTATATCCTCCAGCTGCAGTTCCGGGGAGGCAGCAGTCAAGAGGACGTTGGTCAAGAGCTTCCGCTCGCAAAGGAGGGTTCCTCAGCTTTTCGAGAGGTCCGCCGGTCACTTCTGGGACCCGAAGTTTGACTCGTCTATCCTGGAGGAGGCATGCAGAGAACGGTGTTTCCCTCAGACGCGACGACGTTTCCGCTATGTGCTCTTTTACCTGTCTGCCGCCGCTATCCTCTGGGGATTTTATTTTGCTGCCAACCCATCCCGCTGCAACAGGATAGTCTTTCTGATCCCCACTGCATCCTTTCTCCTTTTCTGCTGCCTCCTCTTCATCCTTACTTTTACCAAGTTTTACTCCCGCTGCTACAGTCAAGCATCCCTGTTGCTTATTGTTGTCACCTTCATGCTGACCCTGGCCCCTCAGATCCAGACGTCAAGCTTCAGAGATCCGCAGACTCTCGCTGATTTGTTAGATGTAGATAATTTCAGTGGGCCGACACACAATCTATCCTACGTAAGGATTGTAGATGGTAGCGCCTGCTCCGCCTGTGTCTCCCCCGTTGGTACCTTCTCCCTCTGTATTGAGGTTCTCCTGTTGCTCTACAGTGTTTTGCATGTTCGCCTCTTTGCTTCTGTCCTTCTCGGCTTTCTCTACTCGGTCTGTTTCGAGATTTTGGGCTCGTTCCATCTCACCCAGGCGGGTGGCAATTTGAGTTTAGCCCCTGAGAAAGACCTGGATACCCTTGGTTGGTTAGGACCAGCCAAAGCCCTGCTCCACCTGTGCGCGCACGCCATTGGGATCCACCTGTTCATCATGTCTGAAGTGCGAGCACGCAGCACCTTCCTGAAAGTCGGACAAGCTATCATGCACGGCAAGGACCTGGAGGTTGAGAAAGCCTTAAAGGAGCGAATGATCCACTCCGTTATGCCCAGAATCGTGGCAGATGATTTGATGAAGCAAGGTGACGAGGACGCTGGCGACAGTTCTGTGAAGCGATACTCCACAAGCGGAGCTGTTGCTGTCATCTCCAGCCCCAAGAACAATAAACGCAAGAAAACCTCCATCCCTCGAGGTCAGATCATCTTCAGACCCTTCAACATGAAAAGGATGGAGCCTGTCAGCATCCTCTTTGCTGATATTGTGGGTTTTACGAAAATGTCGGCCAACAAATCGGCCCATGCTCTAGTGGGGCTTCTCAATGACTTGTTCGGACGTTTCGATCGACTGTGTGAGCTGACCGGCTGCGAGAAGATCAGCACCCTCGGGGACTGCTACTACTGTGTGGCTGGATGTCCTGAACCCAGGCCCGACCATGCGTACTGCTGCGTGGAAATGGGCCTGGGTATGATCCAGGCTATTGAACAGTTCTGCCAGGAGAAGAAGGAAATGGTCAACATGAGGGTGGGCGTCCACACCGGCACCATCCTGTGCGGGATCCTCGGCATGAAACGCTTCAAGTTTGACGTCTGGTCCAATGACGTCAACTTAGCCAACCTGATGGAGCAACTGGGTGTCGCCGGCAAGGTCCACCTTTCGCAAGCTACCGCCAACTTTCTGGATGACCGCTACCAACATGAAGATGGCCAGGTCAACGAAAGAATCGGACAGAGTGTGGTCGCCGACCAGCTAAAAGGTAGGTTTCAGTTTCAGCTTGTTGTTGATTGTGTAGCAGTGGCTAGGCCAGAGGTGGGCAAACTACGGTCCGCGGGCCGGGTCTGGCCCATTGGTCTTTTTAATCCGGCCCGCCGAAGGCTGGTACACAATTCAGGTTCGATGTGAATGATTGCATTCATTTCATTTGGACTTGTAATGATAAGTATTTCAACGCCAGGTGGCGCATTGACACTGGCTAAAATAGGTGCTCAACAACACTGTTCTCATTAAAAAATGTATGTTCATACTTCCATGCTTTTGTTCTGTTGATGTTTGATATGGACTGTCAACAAATGCAATTTTTTTTAATATGTACCGTAGTTTATGCTGACCCAGCCCTTCTGTCAAATTTTAAAAGTCAATGTGGCCCCCGAGCCAAAAAGTTTGCCCACCCCTGGGCTAGGCTATAAACTGCAGCAGTGAGTTACTATTGTACTTTTCATTGGCTACAAAGGTGTTTTTATGTGTCTCGGACAGCTTTTCCCTGGAGGAAAATTGGACATCATCATTCATATAACTGTCCTGTCTTTACTGTGTCCCTGGTGATTTGTTTGATTACAGTCCTCATTGCTCGCAACGTGTCCAGTTTCTATGCTATTTTTAGATATCGTTCGGAATCAGTGTAACCGAAGCTTTGCCTTCATCTCGCTGTCTAAACCTAGCTTTTTCCCCAAATTACCAGAATATTTTATGGCCTATCCTTACCAAATAATGACTGTTATTTTTAAGCCTCGCAACATAAACTGTTATCACCCAGAAGGACTTTTTAGTTGCCCTTATATTTCAGATTCCTTTCATTTAGTGATTGTCTCCAATTTTGTTTCCATGAATTTAGACATTGATTCACATTGATGAAATGTACACCAATTAGCTTCTATCAGTGTCGATGTCAGTTTGCAATGATGCTGAAAGAGCCTTTTGGTTGCCAGCTCGGGCAAGGTGATTTATGGGACTCCATCTCCCCTCATCTCTTCGATTAATGAGCGACAACGGCTTTTGGGCTCGCTACCGTTTTTTTTCCCCCTCTTTGAGACCGAGGATAAATGTGTCGGATGATGTTATAACCCCCACCCCCAACCTCCAGTACCTCTCCACCATGTATTCAGTTTCCATCTTAAGATTGAGCCTCTCCCTGAAGATTTACAGAGCTGGTGAGAGAGCTGGCTGTCAGGAGGGAGTTTTTCCTCACAAAAAAAGAAAAATAAAACTGTCTCGAGAAGTCGGCGTAAATCCCTCAGGTAGCGCTACAGCCGGGATTGGATTCCCAAATGTGAACAATCCCATTTTACCCGACTGAGACATAAATTACGATGACCTACACTCAGCGGCCTCATTTGGTGCACCTGCACATTTGGAGAGATCCAGCAAAGGAGGTCCATCCATTTTCTATATTACTTATCCTCATTAGGGTCACGGGTGAGTTAGAGCCTTTCCCACTTTGGGCGAGAGGCGGCTACATCCTGATTTGGTGGCCAGCCAATCGCAGGAGTAAAAAAAGATTTATAACTAAATTTAGCCTTTTACAAGATAATGCTTCTTTTTCATTGACTTCAGTGTCCTGTACTGATCCACCTCAACAAATCACTTTGTGTGTTTTGATTCAGGATTTTTTTTTTTTCTGAAGTTAGTTATGGCTATTTGTGGCTCGTCATAGCCAAGAATGAGAGGCAACTTTTTGTGGTCGGCTGAGTTTCACTCGTGTTGGCAGTTGAAGGTTGCCCAGGGACCTTTTGGTTTAACAGACATGAAGTGCGGTCCACCACAGTCGTTTGACAGCACGTCTCACTCTCAGCCAAGACTTTTTCTGTCGCGCTTTCATCGATTATTGTGGGAAATAAGTCAGGGAAAAGAAGGCGGGGGGAAAAAAGCTTTGACTGTCAGCATGAATTTGTTACCTTGTTTGATGGTCACCACAAAGAACCTTGACATTTGAGCCATGAGTCATCCAAGCAGGCTTTGTTTCCAGATTACATTAAAATGTTTGGGTGGTATTGGTGAAATCTGTAAAAGAGATTAAGGGCATCTGTTCTTTGTTTCTGGACGAGCAATAATGTCTTGCCTGTTTGAGAACTCTTATGCATTGCCAGAATCATCTTCTTTTTGTCTTCCGAGAAGTAGAGTTCAGTTCAAAAAGTCGTCTAAGTTGGAGCAGGAAAGGACGAAACTTGACAAAACCTGCGACAACTACGCCATGTTCAACAGTCAGGAAATAATGGTCCACTGAGCATCTTGGGTTAGCGGCACAACACGCCAGTTGAACCCTACTGACTCGACTCGTGAAATGGTTGTAGACCTTGTTTTTGCCAATAGAAAAGTAGTAATCACAAGACGAGCCGTGCTGATCAGGGTACGTCGGGTGCTGCAGATAAGGCGCCAGTTTTGTCACTCGCTTCCGTGAATAAAAATAACAAACCGCTTCAGAGCCCAAATGAAATATTCTGATGGGCATTTTCATTCAATTCGTTCGCACTTGTTAGCTCTTTTGTATAATTTGGCCTTCTCTTTTCTAAATCGTATGTACGGCTCCCCTCAAGGAAGAGTGTGATCTCACATTCCCTTTGAAATTCGAAGCGTGACCTTTGCTGGCTTCGCTGCTGATGGAGTTGCATCGAGTATTTCCCCTCCCAACCGGCTCGCTCCTCTCTGTGCCATTAGGGAGGTCGCTAATTAGACAAGATTCACTAATCTTCATAGGAAAGGGGATTAATGCGAGCCGTTTGCATATATCGTGTTCTCCTGACCCCCGAAACACCCCGACTGGCAGCTGTTCTATTGCGATTGAATCACATTGATTGCCTACCGTGATGCTTGTCAGAGATTCTGACAAGGCTGTCATTTGTGCCAACAATAACTTTGAATACTTTGTGTTTTTGGTTCATCGGAGGAAGTAATTGTGTGTCATTTCACTGTGCTTTTTTTTTTCCATCTTTTGGGACACCTTCTCCTCTGTTCCCTCGACCGATAAATTCTTCTCCGTGGGGATGTCCTGCCAGTCATTCGTGCGTGTTGTATCGTTTGCTCCAGGCGCATTGGATCGCTCTCTATAATTGGTGCTACCTGTGAACTTGACACAGATTCATGAGGCCAATTTGGAGAAACTCGCCCAAACAATTTATTCTTAACTGGGATTTGAACGATGAATCTTTTGTTTGTCAGTTGTCGGCATAAGTGCTCTCAGCTGCGGTGGCCCTACATCTAGAATCATCACTGAAAAGACCCCAGGTGTCCCTTTTTTTTTTTCCTCCAGGTCATTGATGACCTTTGTTCGAGTTCATCTGAAATATGTTGGATTAGTTTGAGGTCCGGCGGCCCAGTGGGCGAGTGGTTAGCGTGTCGACCTCACAGTGCAGAGGTCGTGGGTTCGATTCCTGTGTGGAGTGTGCATGTTCTCCCCGTGCCTGTGTGGGTTTTCTCCGGGTACTGCGGTTTCCTCCCACATTCCAAAAACATGCATAGGAGGTTAATGCAAAACTCAAACTGGTTGTTGCGTGTATGGTTGTTCGTCTCTGTGTGCCCTGCGATTGGCTGGCAACCAGTTCAGGGTGTCCCCCGTCTACTGCCCGAAGATAGCTGGGATAGGCTCCAGCACGCCTCGCGACCCTTGTGAGGATAAAGGGGATCGGAAAATGAATGAATGAATGAATGGATGGATGTATGGTTTGAGGTCAGACCTCTTGAGAACTTATCAAAGCATGTCTTCATGGACTACACTTTGTTGGTAGCATAGCGTTGTCGACAAAGTCTTAGTAAGATGAAGATTTCACTTTCGGGAGTAACTAATGCCTTGCGTGGTACCAATTCGACCCCACAAGGCTCTGCTCCCAATACTTTTCCATCAGCAAAACTAAGTACGATGAACTATTTCTAGTTGCTTGTCAGCCTATACGGTGAAGTGTGTGCACACAGCCAGCCTTGTGGTCTTCTGTGGTTTGATATTCGTGTCATGCTCGCGAGTGAATTTCTCTCTTCTGAGAGGATTGGTTTCTTTGAAAAGAGAAAAACATTGCTAAAGTACAAAGACTGTTGCTGTCCTGCCGGGATTACACTGGCACAGCATCGCTGTGAAGAGACTGATGGTTTCCTACTTGACAGGGAATTGGACACTTTCACACTGTCCTGCATGTTGTAGCTCATCCCAGGTATTTTGCAGTCCGCAGCCGCCCCATGAAATGCATATTACCGGGCCCGATTAGCCGGTTAATATTGCATGGGATGCGTTAGAGGGGACGTTGCCTGTAGGATCCTTCGGCCAAAGTACAGTACAATATGCGCTTCTTTGGGATGCCTCGTCACGCTCCATAAACACGCGTGGAGCCACTACGACAAGGGTGGAAAGCACTACACGGTGTGACGATAAGGTAGGTTTATAGAGCTGCAGTCATTTAGTCTTGCTGCAGTGTCGCACTGTTACTCAGCAGATTGGACGGCCTGTTCTTTTTTTTTTCGGGAGGGCTGCGCAAGAGGCGCCAATTGCTTCTATGGAAAACGATTTGCAATCAGAGGGGTGTTGGGATTTGTAAAGATCAAGAGAGGACAATTAGAATCACTTTTGAGTTGCTATGCTGGCTCCCTGCTGAGTAGTCGTGTATCGACGCAAACCTCTCCCAGCGCAGCTATGGGCGCTACGTGGTAGTGTCCTGTAGATCGAATGTGACATTGGAGGTGACGCCCCCCCCTGCCCTCACCTCCACCCACCGCTGTCTGTCTGATAAGGGGTGACATGCCTTCAGAACAAATGCAAAAAATGTACGATGGGAAGCAAAAAAAACACGATTTCTAGCCAGCCGTGCTGAAGATATCTACTTTTGACGGCTGCAAATCTTGGCTTTTAATATTGCTAATGGACACCATTGTACAGCGCCACCGGCACAGTCCCACTTGATGTTTTAAGTGGCCATTTACACTTGATGGTTTTGAACTGATGAAAAAAAAAAACGACAGTCGCATTTCCCACGTCCCTTTTTGGAGACAGAAAAGGCA